TGAAATTTCACTTCTTGCGAGTATGAGGACGTGTGCCAAATTCTACTCATGGTACAGGATGGGAATGCTGCTTTACCCCTTAGGGCTTGAATTACAAGGGATTCTATCTGTTCTGATGGCAAACTCAATCAGTAGATATCGTACCCGACGGGTGCGTGTAAAATATGTTACCTGTTAGGCAATATTTTGTGGGCGTGTATTTCACTACCATAGCTTACTACATCACTACCGCATTTGCATCTGGCAGTGAGAATCCAATAGTAATGGGCTTGTCCCCGTCACTGCCAGATCTAGACTCGTCATCCAAGATCCAAACCGAGGAATCTCAACGTTCACGATCTCTAGAGCGTCCATAACCTTGTCATCTCGACACTTATGACCATATAGCTGATGCTATTCTTTTAACTACACAACTTTGAATTTTATATTGTATATTTTACACCTAAACGACCTCAAATGAAAAAATTGATAATTGCAAAGTTGTAGATCTCGTCAAGTACTATAACTTTGTTGTTGACTTTATCTCCATTCAACATTGCTAACCATTTTAAATCTAACCCGAGAACTTATATTGAATATTTGTACATGTAAACCATCTCAAATTCAAAAGTTGTCAACTACAAAGTTTAAAATCTCTTTAAACTCTATAATTTTAGTATAAAGCTTATCTTAACTTGACCTCATATGGAAATGTTATGACTTTTTTCTGCGCAGAATGGGGTTATCAATGGCGGTTCAAGACACGAACCGGCAGTGATAGATGGACTAGCACTGCCGGTTCGTGGCTTCAACTGACAGTGATAGTATACTACCTATCATTGTCGGTTGAAACCATGAAACGACAGTGATACACTATCACTGTCGATTCCAAAGCAACCGGCAGTGATAGTCCAGTAGTGATGACCTTTTCTGGCATAGTGTTTACTCCCACACACCTTACCTGACCCATTGAAATCCCTAGCTTAACCTAGTGGATGCACTTAAAATGAGCTTTACTAAGCAACATATTACTCTAATGGCTAGTTTTCAAACTAGCCATTACAGCTTGGAGGAGTAATGAATGCTAAGATGAAATGCAACGGACTAGTCCAATGCGCTCAGGAGCTCTCTTGAACCTCTCTAGAGTGCATCAGACCGGCAACCTATGGTCCAATGCCTCCACTCTACTTGGCTGATGTTCAGTACAGACCAAACCCTAGGCTGCAGCACCTGTAACAACATGCTCCAATGCCTCTTTGGGCAAGCCCATCGAACCAATCCGATGTGGCAACAAACCCTGGCTTCCACAAGCATGCAACCTATAGTCTGATGGTCAGCACATGACCAGTCCAATGCAACATGAACCGCACCATTCACTTCCTTTTTCAAACTCCTTTGTGAATGGGGTTGGTTCCAAATGATTTTTGGGCCTTTTCAAAGCTACCTAGTGCTAAGTTTAACAAGTGTGCACCACACCTAAACTATTAGACTCACCTAGATCAAGCTATTAGTTCATACCCCTTTTTAGTATGGTTAAAGGAAAAACAAAGTCTTAAACTACTCTAAGTGTCTCCCAACTTCAAATGACATTTAGAACTTATCCGTCCTTAACCTTGTCGTCCATCTTTGAAAACCAAAACAAATTACATTAATAGGGGCATGAAAACCATTGATTGCCTAAATAGTCACCATTATCATAACCTAACTCATATTAACTCTGCAAAACACACATTAGTCACAATAATCTTGTGTAGTCATTAATCACTGAAACCCAACTAGGGGCCTAGATACTTTGAGGGGCCCTCAACAACTACTAACTCATTTAGCAAGCCTGGCAAGAGCACCCCTACGCTCTTGTCTCCTTAAAAAAAGTGCACCCCTACACAATTCTAGTGAGAAAAGTAAATCAAACACTAGAACTAAGGAGCTACATAAGCGAATGAATAACACAAAGTAGAGGAAAGTATAGACACAGCAAACCACAAGTAGAGGGTGACATAAAGATATATCCCCATGGTTTGGGACTTGTCAGTCACCTAGGTCCATGTTGAGGTGAGTCCAAGGATCACCGCTCATCTACATGCTCAACTACCCATCAAGGTAGACTCCGATGTGAGTTCTTCTACATGTGCCGGCAAGATCATGAGGTACTCCAACATCCCCGTATCCACTATAGTTGTTCTTCACCTCTCTAGCGGGGAATGAGCACACCAACCCCTCACAATCACCTCCGGAGCACCTCATAATCTCCAATTGAGTGCTTCAACGGATTTGGCTGCCTCCTAGCCATCTAGGTAGAGGCAATCACAAGAGTAAGAAGAATTCATTACCAAGACAATCCTCTAATACCACTAGATAAGAATTCATAGCCAAGACGATCCTCTAGTGCCACTAGATGCTAATTTTTAAAGCAACTTCACTAGATCTCTCCAATCAGTGCAAAAATGAAATCACTAGCAAGAAAATGGGTGTGGAGGCTTAACTTGTGCTCTACTATGTGTGTGCGTGTCAACAATAGGGTCCAACAACTATGTCATGCCCGGCCACACCCTCTATTTATGCACCCACACATAAAACCAGCCGTTAAAGTTGACTGTTTACATTTTTGTATGCACCAGAGAGCTACGGTGAGAGTGCTCACACTAGAGTTCTCCAATGGCTACATCAATGGTTCTTTCAAACTAGCCGTTGCACGGTTAAAAGCTCTAGTGACTTCTCTGGTGTACCACCGAAGAGTTCTGGTTCTTGCTTGGCCTCAAATTTGCAAAAAGATCATCTCTAGAGTCACTCTCTCGTGCACCATCGTAGTGATTCGGTGCCCTCGTTTGAACTCTCCTACGTGCTAGCCGCCACTGTTCCTAATCTCTGGTTCTCACCTCTCCGGTGGCACCAGAAGATAAGGTGACAACATAGAAAAACTAGCTAACAACAATGACCTTTCTAAACTCTGGTGGACACCTCTGGTGTACTACCAGACATCTCTGGTGACCCCTCAGTGCCTCATGGTTGCTCACTACGGTCACTCTCTAGTTGACACCTCCGGTGCACCAATGAGCTTCGATGAGTTCATGATGATTGGACCATTCCGGGTTCTAAGCATCGTTCGTACTCTCCGGTGGCATCACTCTGGTGCCCACCGAAGAGCTCTGGCGCCTCTATAAACAAAGCACATTGTTCCTCTCTCAAACTTTTTCAAATGGCTAACTCCAAACGGTCTCCCATGAGATGACCAACACCTTTAGCAGCGAGGTAGCATTTCCAAAATATTTTTCAAAGGTTTTCACTTGCTTCTTCATTGCGCCACTCAATCTAACACATTTGCATATTTCGATCTCACCTAGTGGCACTAGATAACCATGTTATTCAAATAATTCTACTCTTTATAGTACGACTATCTATCCTAAACACGGCCATTTACTTCACTACACACCTTCGGCTGGTGAAAGCAAATTCCTAGCAAATACCTTTGTCTTGTTCTTTGCTTTCATTTCCATCCATCATCTCCTTCATGTTGAACCTTGCACCTCGTGATCATCACCATCATCGTTGTGGTCTTCATGTTGCTCAACATCACTTGTGGACTAAACCTGCACTTTCATCTCATATGAAACAAGTTAGTCCACTAATGTTGTCACTCAATTTTCCTTAAAAAAATATTGTCACTCAATAACCAAAAACTAAACCAGCTCTTTCAGTGCCTCTCTCGTCCATGCTCATTCCACTCGCACTCGTGCTGCCGCTCGCTCGGCCCTCCCATGTGCAATTGTCATTGCCCCCGTCTTATACCAAGACTACTCCGCCGCACCTAGAACGCGTAGAGGAGGGGCAACGGATGGTGATATAAAGAATGAGAAGAAAAAGCGTATAATGGTCCTTTTACACTCAGAATTGCCATAAATAATTAAGATTGTCAAACACTGAGATTTTTGTACTAGAGATTCTTTATACTGCAACATATAAGAAAAATTCTTATTAGATTGCAATCCACGTCTATATCTATATACTCTTATAAAGCTAAACCCCATTAGATGATTTATCTCTTCATGCAAGGTGTCCACATCATTCCCCACTAAGTGAACTACTAGATGTATCTCTTCATGCAAGGTGTCCACATCATTTCTCACTAAGTCCATATCATTCCTTATTAATTAAAAAATATCCACGTCATCTCTATCATGTGTAATACTTTTAATCTTTAATCTATTACATGCATGTCATCTATATACTTGTTTGTTTCATCACCTATTCCTTTATAATGTAATCAAATATTCTATTAGTTTTTCTTCCATTAGCTTACCTATTTTTACTAGATCTAATACAATAAAATAACATGCAAATCAAATTCATATATATACAATATCAAGGAGTAATGCTATGTATATAACAGATTTATTTTTAAGAAAATTCTGCAGCAACGCGCGGGGTATACTTATAGTAATCTTTGTCCTTAAACACCATGATCGAGCCATCGAATTTCTTTGGACGACATGACAAATCTGAAGTCCTCACGCAAATGTGAAGACGTATTTTAGTGTTGTCAGCACTCTGCAGTGCTGCTACTTGTTTTATCTTTCCTTTTCCCGGTATAATACCTTCTACAGCTATTGACATGTATATTTTTCCCCTGCTTTATTCAACGATCGAAATGAAATAAGCAGTGCCTTGTGCCATTTTTAAAAGGTGTATATCATTATTTGTTGCATATTATCATGACGTGACAAGTAGCTTTTTTTACCAGAAAGAAATGTGAAGAAAAAGAAAAGAGTTTGGAGCCTTTATACATTCAGAGGCCTCGCTTGAACTGTACTCCACGCTCACCATGCCTGATGAGGTATTCTGTGAAATTTCCCTCCCTTTCAGCTCTATAAAAAGGATGCCTTGCTTGTCGAGTAGAGCCAGTAATCGACAGCACCAAGTCACGAACTCCAGCTATATATATATATATAGTGCCTCCGCATCCAGTGCTGGCCAGCCGGTGAGCACTGAAGCTCGCCGCATCAGGCAGTAGGGGCCAACTAGCAATGGCTCGTGTCGCCGCCATAGTGGTGCTGGTGCTCCTCCTACAGCTAGCCTCCTCGTACCCCGTCGCGGCCCGCGCCGATGCTGCCGGCGTGCTTGGCCGCAAGGCCGGCGTCGTCGTTGACGAGCCTCCCGTGGAGAACGCGCCGGTTGGGCCGGGGAGGTACGCCGTCATCTTCGACGCCGGCAGCACTGGGAGCCGGGTGCACGTCTTCAGGTTCGACAGGCAGATGGACCTCCTCCGCATCGGCGATGAGATCGAATTCTTCGCCAAGGTAAGACAACTATACAAAGGCTATCTAGTCTAGTTAGATTATACGAAAACTTGGGTGTTGTCTAGGTTGCTTGAATGCGTGTAGTGTGGCTGTTTGTTTTTCTTGGTCATTACTTAGTGCGTTGCACCCTCCAATCTCCATTACCAGGGAAGTTCCAGGTAAGGACGCTCATCTTCCCCCTTGACCTCCTAAAAAAGATATATGGTCCTGTAGTAACAAAGTCATTAACAAAAGCAAAAGTGTGGCGGCCATCGTCTACTGCCGTTATTAAAAGCTTCGTTCTCAAAAGTACTCCATTAGTGACCCCGGGCGGCCCGGCCGATCCAGCAGGTTTCGCGGTTGTTGCCTTTTTAACAACAGGATGTTCTGTTATATGCATGTCATGTTAATTAGAACATTTTGATTGTCCATGCAGGTGAAACCAGGCCTGAGCTCGTATGCTGGACGACCCCAAGAGGCCGCGAAGTCCATTCTGCCTCTTCTTGACAAGGCCAAGAGCATTGTCCCTTCATGGCTTATGAAAAGAACCCCTCTTAAGCTTGGAGTACGTATGTGAACAATTTACTATTATGTTCTCATCACTTTCAAATAATTTTGAGAAATGTGTACCTTCTTCTCTAGTCACTAATTGCAGGATCCAGTAAAAGCAGTTTATATATAACCGTGTTAGTAGTTGTTTTGGTCCAAAGGTTTCATAATTTGCACAAATCATAGCAAATGACCCTTAAAACTTATAGAAATGTGTGTGAAACACTACTTCCTCTTGCTACCGTTAAAATGTTATACACTATTATTGTTTCTCAGTATTTTTCCTTGTCTTTTCATGTCAACAATAAACTTGCAGGCGACTGCTGGATTACGCCTTATCGGAAATCAACGAGCAGACCAAATTCTTGATGCGGTAGATTCATTTTCTTACTCTCCAGTCTTGTTCTGGCACATGATAAATATGTATCATCATCCATGAATTTTGTTACTTTGATCTTTAATACAGGTCAGAGATCTTGTCCACAAAAAGAGCAAATTTCAGTACAAGCCCAACTGGATCAATGTTCTTGAGGGATCTCAGGAAGGATCCTACCTATGGGTATGAGTTAGCAGTGACACAACAACAAATTCATCTATACTCATGCTTAGTTTATCTTTACATCACCACATAATTACATGCACTCTGTAATGTTACTACAAAACCTTAGCGTGCATGCCCTGAGATGTAGATTGCTCTGAATTATTTGCTGGATAAACTGGGAGGGGACTATTCCCAGACGGTAGGCGTGATTGATATGGGCGGTGGATCGGTGCAAATGGCCTATGCTGTCTCTCCATATGCTGCTGCGAGAGCACCCACGGTGCCTGATGGCGAGGATCCCTATATTACCAAAGAGTATTGTAAAGGAAAAGAGTACAATGTATATGTTCACAGGTTTGAATCAATCATACTCCATTAATTTGTGAGACAGACAGGTGTAATCAGTTGGACTGATCACTCAAGACCTTCTGCTTGCAGCTACTTGCGCTATGGTTCCTTTGCATCACGAGCGGAGATTTTGAAGTCCAAGAACGGACCATTCAGCTTCTGCATGCTGCATGGATTTAGTGGTATTTTAATGACTCTGCCACGGGAATTTATGCTTAATTTGCTAATTTTTGAAAGAACATTGTCCAGCATAACTCTATATACAATGTCCTTCGTTCCTTAAACTTTTTGTGAAGGTAAATACACCTATAATGGACAGCAATACGATGCAACTGCTAGACCAGAAGGAGCATTATATGAGACATGTAGGGAAGAGATTGCCAAGGCAATGAATCTGAAGGCACCATGCAAGACAAAGAACTGCACCTTCGGTGGTGTGTGGAATGGGGGAGGTGGAGCTGGCCGAAACAATATCTACGTCGCATCAGGCTTCTACTACCTTGCCTCACATGTAGGAACAAATACTATGCTTAACCTATATATAGGATTATAGGTACATTTAGTTTGGATGTTTGCAAGTAAAAGGAACTGAATTTCCTCACTTAATTGGCAAGGTTGGGTTCATAGATAGCAAAGCTCCCAGCGCGAAGGCCGCTCCTGCCGCACTCAGGGCTGCTGCTAAGAAGGTTTGCCAATTGGATGTCAAGAAAGCAAAAGTTGACTACCCTAATATTTCTGACAGTGATGTGCCATACTTGTGTATGGATCTTACTTACACATACACATTGCTCGTTGACGGCTTCGGTAAGTTGCATCAGTTCTTAAACTCAATGATTTTCTTTGTTGCTTTGAAGTATTACTAGTGCTCTTGACAATCAGAGTTCAGAAGGCATAGTTCGATTTATATATATCTGATTGGATGCATTATCGCAGGTCTGCAGCCAACGAAAAAGATCACATTTGTATCCAAGGTGAAGCATGGAGAATACTACATCGAAGCAGCATGGCCTCTGGGTACTGCTATTGAGGCCGTGTCACCGAGAAAGCAGATCGGAAACTAATGATTCAGTATCTTGGTCAGTAAGGATACTTGGGCTGTTGGCACTGGATTCTGGATTTGTGGCATGTTGTCATGATTGAAGTTAGCGCTCCTGACCAATAATGTTTGACTCTCAAATAATTTCTGTACTACTGCTCGGCAGCGTGCATGCAAATTGTACATTACATTGGAATTTTGTCCTAATTTTTTTTCGAGAGCGTGCGTAGCACGTATTTCATTAAGAAGAAGAGATTGGATACAAACGACGAGTCTAAAAGGCGAGATGCCCTAAAGACGCCCTACAACTACCGGGCTTACACTAAGATGATATTACATGGAGTTCGCGACTATGGGCTTTTGCGTTTGCAAGCAAGCTCAGTCCGAGACGGATAGCACCCGACCCCTCCTTGCTCCCACCTTCGGGAACAGCTTCCGCATAGCAGCGCGCTTGGAAGAGGAGAGCAGCTCGGTGAACGTCTCATGGAACCTGCTGGCGATGGAAACATCGGGAGTCTGCGAAGCGTTCGCCGGCCGAGGATCCCACTTGTTGACGAGGACCCGTTTCGCCTGCTTCTCTGGGTTTGGGTCGCGATAGGCTGACTTTGCAGCTAACCGGTCACTCCGCCTTGGCACGAGGACGGAGTCATCACGACGCGACCTGCGCAGACGTGGGGGAGAGTTGAGGGGGCACTCCTGCAGCGGCAACTTGAGCGACGCGATGAAGTCCGAGACCGATGCCTGCTGGCCGACTGGCGGCTTGGCAATCGGAGGCTCGACCATCGCTGATGGAGATGGCTGCGTGACTGTAGGCGATACGGCAACGGGGGAGGCAAGCAGTTCGACATCTGGCCTAGGTACCTCCGAGGCAAGCCCCGTACCTGCAACCAACATGTCAGTCTCCCCAGGCTCAGACCCTTGGCCGGCCCATACTCCAACAAGCCCATGGGCTTGAGCAGGAGGCGACGAATGAAGAGAAATTTCAAATAGAAATGAAGAGATTTTTGCACCAGTTACATTTCTGGTTCGAAACTAGCTAGAGGACCAATATTAGGAGACCCGTAGCTAGCTGGCTTGCTTTCCAAAATTGGCAGCATTAGTGAACCAAAGGTAGTCTATCCATGAATCGCGTTCAGTGAACCTATTTGATAAGAAAAATAATTTTATTCAAATGTTCGAATTGTTGGTAAATCTCAATTTTCAGTCCAAATAGTCAAGATGAGTGTAGCTACTCTCCGTTTAGCCAGACCTTGAGAAATATTATCACATACTTTCATCAAAAAGTATTATTACATACCTCCGATATGGTAATAGGATAAATACATCTTTACGTATTTTTTATTATTTATTTTCATAGGATTGACATAATATCTTGTAATTATCTACTCTCTCCGTCCTAAAAAAAGGAAGTCTCAATTTTTGAGAAGTCAAAGAATCTAAAATTTTGACTAAATACATGTAAAATGATATTGATATGGGTAACAAGTATCACAAGATTAATCATAGAGCATTTTTTCAAAATATACCTAATTGAAGATCCAAACATAGATAATATATTTTCTAAAAATCTAGTCAAACTTAAGATTGTTTGACACCTCAGGAAGCGAAATTTCCATTCTTTTTTAGACGGAAGAGTAACAAGCATGCACATGGATCCATATAGGATTATATGTTATGAACGTGCATAGTTGGTGTAACATTTTTTATTCAATTGTGACTGATGACAGTCAAAAGTGGCCAAGACAATCGTCGCTTTTGGAACTCCGGAGGATAAGAAGACGGTTTTGTGCCTAGCCTAGCAAAATTGGCCTAGCCGGTTTCTCTTAAATGCACCATGTCGGCCAGCCCGAGAGACCGAGGTTTTCCTGCCTACTAAGAGAACGGTTAGAGTCCAGCTCGGTTTCGGCTCGTGTTTTGACGTGGGAAACATGCAATACATGTTTGAGATATCTTTCTATTAGGGTAAGACCACCCTCTCTATATATATCGGAGGATCATGGCCGATTGAGGGATCCAACATCCAATCGTCTTCTTTTACATCTATTACCCCATTTGCCCTACTTTTCCAATCTCTTGATGTTTGTTGGATCTCTCCGTGAGATCCAGTAGCGTTCTAAGTGGCCTTGCCAACCCTAGGACGATCGACCTTGGTGTGCATCTCCTCGATGAGTGTTCCTGGGATGTGTTCTCAAGTTCTATCGCAAAGGACGGGCTCCAAACCGGCCTAACAGATCTCTCGATCGGTCTCGCTAATCTTGAAGTTCTTCGCTGCATGTGATAGGTCATGTGTAACCTCGGGCGTTCTAGCTCTTGCTGGTGGGCGTTCCGAGATCCAATTTAACGTCAATACACTTTTTGGCAATTCCACTGGGGAAAGAAGATCAATTTGAGTTCAAGGTGTCTCAAGATCACGATAATAACGGAAAGGGTGATCTCACTGACGCATCCAATGAGAAGAATATCATTCATCCTTCAACTATTGATCAACTCCTAGAGGAACTCTGCAAGATGGTGGAGGACAAGAATGTTGTTAATGTGGCACCCGCTCTAGCGAGTTACTCAATGGATCGATGGTCAAGTAGCATTGCAAAGCAATTCAAGCCCATGAACACTCTTGTAGGGCCATGCCTAGGCTGTAGGCACAGCCCATGGGCTGGCACGCCTAGACACAATGAACTGATAGGGTCATACCTCAATGGGCCCAGTCGTCATAGGCAGAGCCTAAGGGTATGCATTGTATTCTATGGAATACCCATGTTTTTTTCGCCCCGCTTGAAAGGTCTTAATATGGCTAGAGGGGGGGTGAATAGCCTATTTAAAAACTACAAATCAACTAGAGCAATTTGATTAGTAAGACAAATAGCGAAATACAAACTTGCTCTAGCTCTACAAGGGTTGCAAGCCACCTATCCAACAATTCTAGTTGCAATGATCTATTTGCACACAATCTACTTGACCACTACTCACTAAGAGCTCTCACAAAAGCTACACTAAAGAGCTCCACTAGATATGTTTAAAGCACAAGGCAAGCTCTCAATTCTAATTACACTTAAAGAGCTTGCTATATCTAGTTTGCGGAAATGTAAATGAGTAAGTGAGACGATTATACCGCCGGGTCGTGGAGTGAACCAATTACACGATGAATATATAGCCAATCACCGGGAGAATGCAAATGACAAGAGACAACCAATTTTTCTCCCGAGGTTCACGTGCTTGCCAACACGCTAGTCCCCGTTGTGTCGACCAACACTTGGTGGTTCGGCGGCTAAGAGGTGTTTCACAAACCTCGTCCACACGATAGGACACCGCAAGAACCGACCCACAAGTGAGGTAACTCAATGACACGAGCAATTTACTAGAGTTACCTTTCGGCACTCCGTCGGGAAGGTACAACTCCCTCACAATCACACCGAAGGCGGCCACGAACAATCACCAACTCGTGCCGATCCTTCACCGCTGCTCCAACCGTCTAGGTGGTGGCAACCACCAAGAGAAACAAGCGAAATCCGCAGCGCAACACGAATACCAAGTGCCACTAGATGCAATCACTCAAGCAATGCACTTGGATTCTCTCCCAATCTCACAATGATGATGGATCAATGATGGAGATGAGTGGGAGGGCTTTGGCTAAGCTCACAAGGTTGCTATGTCAATGAAAATGTGCAAGAGAGCTCCATTGAGCCGGCCATGGGGCTATAAATAGAGCCCCCATCAAATAGAGCCGTTGTACCCCTTCACTGGGCAAAACACGCTCTGACCGGACGCTCCGGTCATACCGATCGGACGCTGGCCCTCAGCGTCCGGTCGCCCGATGGACGCCACGCGTCACCAGCTTCAAACGCTGTTCGTCAGATTTCAACGGTCGCGAAGCTGACCGGACGCTCCGGTAAAACTGACCGGACGCTGAAGCCCCAGCGTCCGGTCGTTTCCAGTAAGCTCCCCGAGGCATGATTTTTCGACCGGACGCGTCCGGTCCACCTTGACCGGACGCAGCCAGCGTCCGGTGCTCAACCCCTAGCCACTGTACCGCCGAGTCAGCGCGACCGGACGCAGGCAGTCAGCGTCCGGTGCTTCTGGATTCAGCGTCCGGTCACTGGACCAACGCCAGCATCATTTCGATCAACTCCATTTCAACTCTAACTTCTTCACCCTTGCTCAAATGTGCCAACCACCAAGAATTTTGCATCCGGCGCAATAGAAAATAGACATTTCATTTTCCCGAAAGCGCCGAATCCCGCCTCGCAAGCTCGGCGGGAGGGAGAGAGGGACCCAAACCCATCTCAACCCTACAAACACCTTGTGCACATGTGGTAGCATATTTTCACAAATATTTTCAAGGGTGTTAGCACTCCACTAGATCCTAAATGCATATGCAATGAGTTAGAGCATCTAGTGGCACTTTGATAACCGCATTTCGATACGAGTTACACTCCTCTTAATAGTACGGCTATCTATCCCATTTGTGATCGCACTCACTAAGTGTCTTGATCACTAAAACAAAATGGCTCCTACATTTTATACCTTTGCCTTGAGCCTTTTGTTTTTTTCTTTCTTCTTTTCCAAGTTCAAGCATTTGATCATCACCATGCTATCACCATTATCATGATCTTCGTCATTGCTTCATCACTTGGAGTAGTGCTACCTATCTCATAATCATCTTGATAAACTAGGTTAGCACTTAGGGTTTCATCAATTAACCAAAACCAATCTAGAGCTTTCACCGCTCCTAGCTTCGTTGTCTGCTCAACTCACCCCCTCGCTCTTACAATCGACAACCAATGTCCAGCGCCAGAGCGGACTGTGTTGAAGTTGTTGGCAGTCACTGTAGTCTGCATCAGCCAATACAGCAGGACCCCTCTCCCTTGGCAGCTCGGCCCCCCTCCCAACTCCGCTCAGCTCGACTCGATGTCTCCCTCTCCTAGATCCATTCTGTAGTCTAGACTCCAGCATGCTTCTACGTACATATTTTATTTTCTTCTCTAATTTATAAAAAAATGTTGATTAATGAAATCTAGATTGAATCCCTGCAATCTAATATATTGCATATTTGTATTGGAATTTTTTTACGTGGAATACCTAGCTGAAAATCCCCGGTTCCACCACTGGTCGTATCGGATTATGTTGTCCTTTTGGCCATCTATAGTTGTAGCACACTTTCTCTTTTACAAATATACTATGGGGCCGTTTGGAGCAAAGGATATTAGTAGGAAAATCAAAAGAAACAAAAACGCAGGAACGGGAGGACACTAGAGCGTTTGGAACATAGGAAAGTAATCTTTCCTTTTCCTATGGAACACGGTAGCTTCTTTATAGTTTCACGGAAAAGCAAAACTCCACTCAAATCTCTGATTCCTTCGCAGAAGCCCAAGATGACTACGGCAGTAATTCATCGGATACATGGTTGTCTGCCGCTAAAAGCGGGTGAATGAGGATGAGTAAGTGCATAGTCCGACAATCGTAAAAAGAACCTAGTAATTAACACAGTATATCATTTCATTAAGCGCTAATAGTGACTCTTTATCATTCACGGTCTTATGATTCATGTGTTACGGATTCCTGCGTTCCAAACACCCCTTCTTAATTATTTTCTGCGTTTTTTCTCTCCTCGGTTTTACCACTACACACTCACTTTATTCCTGCGTTTTTCCTATTCCTATATTTTTTATTTCTGCGTTCCAAACAGGCCCTATATATGCATGATTTATTTGTGAAAACTATAATTTTTACGGCAATGCTCCCGTGAGAACGTCCGGACAGACAAACACAGCTTTTCACTCGCTACCGCGCCGTCCGCTCGTTCTCATCCCTGCCTATTTAAAAAATCTCTCTACCCATATTTATGGGTGCTCGTAGGTGTGCTCATGCATGCCAGCCAAGGGGTGCTCGCCAGCTACGACTAGCACAGCAGGTGGTGCTTGTGCTTGCCAACAAGGGGTGCACTACCGGAAACGTCAAATTTGCCGAGTGTTTTTACGTTTGCCGAGTGTATTCCCTCGGGTACTCGGCGAACAAGTTCTTTGCCGAGTGCTGCGCTAAAAACACTTGGCAAAAAAAAACACTCAACAAAGAGGGTTTGCCGAGTGTAAAAAAAACACTCGGCAAAGAGGGTGGTTTGCCGAGTGTTTTCTTTTTTACACTAAAAAAATTCTGAGAAAAAAAATGAAAAAAAACTTTACCGAGTGCCCAGATCTAGGACACTCGGCAAAGGATAAAATCATACTTAATAAACCGGCCCCAGCGCCCCTCCCGAGCACCCCGCCCTTCTCTTCCCCAGCGCCCCTCCCTCTCCCGGATCTCGCGAGTCATGAGGAACCACCACCATGGTGCGTGCTCGCCTCCTCCTCGAGGCGTCGCCTCGGCGAAAGCACGGCCGCCGGAGCGAGCCCCGGCGGCGAAGCACCAGCTCCGCGGATTCGACCTCTTCCGGTCGCGCCACCTCCGTCCTCACCGACTCGGCGGGCGGTCGAGCGGCACCGGCCCGGCGGATTCGGCCTCCTCTAGTCGCGCCACCTCCATCCTCACTGACACCGGCGGGCGTCGAGCAGCACCGGCCCCAGCGGCGCGGCCGCTCCCTACACGGCCGGCGCGGCCCTCCGATGGCGAGGTCCCGATGGCCCCCTTCACCTCGATCCACCTCCACTTCCACGACTCAATCCAGGGCTACGATGCGTCCGTGCTCCTGGACAGGTCCTCCATCGGGACGAGCGAGCAGCAGGTGCCGCCCAACCATGCTGCGACCACGCGAGCGCCGCCCATGCCGTGCTGTGTGCTCTGCTTTGCCCCAGCGCCCCTCCCTCTCCCAGATCCGGCCGGTGGAGGCCGGATCTGGCGGCGGGCGGCATGGTGTGGTGGTGGTGGCGGCGGTTTTGGTGGTGGTGGTGGGCGGCGGCGGGGCGTGGTGGTGGCGGCGACTTGTTTTTTTTCCCGAAAAATGTTTGCCGAGCGTTTTTTTTGGACTCGGCATAGTCTTTGCCGAGTGCCACACGATTGACACTCGGCAAAAAGCTCTTTGCCGTTAAAACCTACGCCGAGTGTAACTAACACTCGGCAAACGCTTTGCCGAGTGTTTTTTAGGCCAAAGCTCGTGTATCCGGTAGTGGTGCTCGCCAACTGCTGGCCTGCTCGTGCTTGCTAGGCAGGAGGTGCTTGTCAGCTGCTGGCCGCTTGCCAAGGGTGTTGCGGGGGGTGCTCGCCGAGCAGGCCGTTGTGCTCGCCAGGTGCTCCTCGTGTAGGTGCTCACCTAGTGCTACTCTCGTGGCCTCGCGTAGGTGCCCGCCCAGTGCAGTGCCTCCGCTAGGGCACCAACGACGCTGGCTCAACTAGGGCACCGGTGAGCTCCATGCGCCACCGCCAACCTCTGCGCTGGCGTCGAGCTCCGCAATGACGAGCCTCCATTCGTCCAAGCAGTAAACTGACATTGCGCTGAAAACGTATGTTTCAAGTGTTTCAGATGTTTTAGAGGTGTGTTGCAAGTGTTTCACATCGATGTTGCAACAGTAGATTGTGATGTTGTATATGTTGCAATGGCTATACACGCATGTTGCAAGGGTGTGTTTCAAATGTTTCATCTTTTTTCAAAAGCATGTTTCAAGTGTGTTTATTTTTGGATGCTGCAAATGTTTTATTTGTATGTTGCATACGCTTGCAATGGCTTTTGAAGTGTTTTTAGACATTTTGCATGTTTTTCAGACGTATGTTGCAAGTGTTTTAACTGTTTCAGACGTATGTTACAACTACTTCATCTTGATGTTGTAAAAGTAGATGTTGCAAAAGTAGATCTGATATTGCATAGCAGAGTAGCGGGCGAGCAGACGTGCCCAGGCGGCCGAGCGAGCAGACCGGCCAGGCAGGTGAGCAAACACGAGCAACGGCCGGGCGAGCAGACAGCAAGGCGGATGATGCGAGCGGGTGGCCGGGTGAGCAGGTGGGGAGGCGCAGCTGGCCAGCAGACGTGGGCCTCCGGCATCCGTCAAGACGTCCGGGCACCAGTCACACCGTAATTTTTATGTATGATTTATTTGTGTAGTTTCTACTATTTCTCAAACATAAATATACAACGTGTTACAAATCAACTAAAATTTACAGGAAGTAATTGCTGCAAGTTTTTCATGGCACGGAGTGTGGGAAGAGACCGGTCAGAATACGTCTGAGAGATGTTTTCAGAGGGAAGGTGCATCTGGTTGCTTCTCTGGCAATGCAGCCAAGAAGGCAGGATGTTCCAGGAACGCTTCATGGAGCCTCGCCAGGACAGGGTAAACTGACTGCAAGGTGAAAAAATGGTTCCTTAGAGCCAACAGCTGAATATGATGATGTTCTAAGTTCATCAGTTCGCTCCCTTTTTCAGTAATAGGCACTGTAGCTGAAAGTGTTATGCAAACCTACTCCGTTTCCTTATTCAGCATTTCAGAGAACAACAAAATATGGAGCATTCGCATGAGGAATTGTGTATCTTGGTTCAAGAAAACAGAACAAACAAGGTCTTGTGCTTGTACTCCGTTCTATGCCCTTTTGTGATTATAAATAAAGAATAAGCCGTAATTCGCAATGGTAGTGGTACCTACCATATCAATTCCAAAGCGCTTAATTCCACCATATATCTGTGGTTCCAGAAATACATCTGCCTGTATAGTGTCAGCAAGTAAATATCACCATCCTTAGATAATAGGGTAGAACTACGAGATTATAAGCTAAAAGTTTTAGCCTAAAACTTGTAGTACCATCGTTTTGAACCGACATTTTTGTTCCCCAAAGGGTTCATCACATTAGTAATTTCGGCGTATAATGGTGTACCATTTTGATTTGGTACTTTTGAGTTGCTTATGTGAATAAAGATTTTTGGACAAGAGTAACAGAACTTTTTAAAACCATTAATCCATGGTCGCATAGCATTGCAGCTACCTATTTAAATAAAAATGCTCAAACAAATAAGGAAATGAGGTTTGAAGAGCAAACCAGCTGGATTTCGTTTCCTGTGGCATATTTGGTGCTGCATCCTTTCAACAACTTCTCAAGAGCTGAACATCCATGGAGAAATAGACATTGAGATGTTAGGGCAGCAAAAATTAGTATATCACAAACTATAAAACAACGGAAGTGGACAGAGAACTTTTAAATCATGATTATCGTTTGATTGGTGTGGTTGTAGATTTCTTTTTCATCTCTTCGCAAAAAAAAAAAAAAATCTTTTTCATCTAATCTTCACATGATTGACCAAAATGATGATAGGGTACAGAACCTGTGAAGCCCCTATTGATGTGATGCTGTGTCCACTTAATTGCTTCGTTGGAGTCTAACTTCTCCTCGATGAAATTCTGCAGTTAAGGCGAAGAACAAGTTTGCCACATCTACATCAAAAAAAGAAAGAAACAATCGATACAGTTATTGATATGCGACCACGGATTCATGGTCAGCAGGGAGCTCCTGCGAACGAACTCACCCAGACAGGATAGTTTTGTAGTGGCTGGATGCTTGAACCCACGATGCTTGCAATCTGCAACTCAAAGAAAATATGCCATTTCATTGAGATGCATGGATTTGGAGGAGTTGGCAAAGTAAATTAGGACGTGTGTTTCATTTCTGTTCTGTTTATCATGAACGTTAAGTGTCTCAGGATAAAAATTATTTCGGTAGTGTTCCTTTTTTTTTGAAACTACTTGAAATGATTTTGGTGGCACAGAAATAGAGACTAACCTGGATATTCAGTGCTCTCTTTTTGGGGTCCTGTGGTAGCAGAGGATACTGGGGGTACTTGTCCTCTAGGTACTAGTCCACCATAAGAAACATGAACTTCATGATGGCCATTCAGGATGCAAAAAATACTCAAAAATCTCAAATTGTACAACCTGTATTACTGTACATCATCAGTATATGTACCCCATGCATGCCTTACCAGCAAGATTGCAAACGAATCTGCGACAATCGTTTCGCCATCGACCAATGCCGGAACATACTTGATTGGGTTCAGTCTCTCAAACTCTGTAGCCAAAAAGGGGGGCAAATCGAGCAGTTTTCAGACCAATACTTCTGCACCTGGATTTTGTGAAGGAGAACACTGGTAGACATGTCTACGCTGAAAACCATTTGTATGTAAGCACCTGGATCTGACTGCTCGTTTGCGAGGAGATTCACCGGCTTATACTCGTACTCCAGTCCTTGAGCCCACAGATTATTTCAGAACGTTCGTGTTCAGTTAACACCTCTGAAGCAATTGCCCTTGCGGCACAGACCTGACAGAGCCATGAGGATTACCTTTGAGATTAAGGGCTATGCGGACGCGCTGCGAGCATGAGCTTCGCCAGAACGAGTAGAGCTTCAGCTTGGGGCTCTTCACCGGCGGCACCACTGCCGCCGTCGCAGCTGCCGCTCCGGTGAGCTCCTGAGTCGAATCGAACCAAATCAAAGAAGAGGCGGCCGTGATCAGTTGCTCTGCTATAGCCTACAGGTGATGAAACGGAGACCAAGCTGCATATACCTGTAGTGGCACGTTGGATGAATCATCGGACGCCATGACGCGATCGAGGCAATCGATGGTGTGTGTCGGGGGTCAGCGGCTTCTGTTCTTGGTTTGGATGGTTTGGAGCGACAAAGTGCCCCTCGAGTGGGGTGGGGGAATACTAAGCTCTTGTACAAAAGGCATCCATAGTCGTGAAAACCACCTGTTGTGCTGGTGTGACGGTGACTGTACGAGCTCATCAACCGCAGAGTATATATACCCTCTCCCTCGAATGCGACTGTATGACTCGTAGTTTAACTTTAATCCAATTTATAGTAAAAAAATAGTATTAATATTTACATCTCCAACTAGTGCTTTATCCAAGATGCTTGCAGAAATTTAAAGTTAAAAGCAATATTTATTTTGCTATAAATGGTTGCAACTTTAGTTATCGCCTTGGGAACTAGTTTGCACCAGTGAACTCTAAGTTTTATTTAGAGTGAGATTGTAATACGTTTGGTTTGATGTTTCTCTAGAAGCTAAAGCCGGAACATTTGTTTCCATTATTAAAAAAAGGTTAATAGAAAATATGTTTATAATTCATTTAATGGTACTTATTTTGTATCATGAGTGTTGATTTTTTTATCTAGTTTTTGTCAAACTTCAAATAGTTTGACTTAAAAAAAAAGTACGCCATGGCTAATTGGACATGGATGACCCTGCCACCGGTGCACCTCTTTAGTGCTTGTCTGAGTAGGTTTCTTTGCCTTCATTTGTCTAAGCTTATCATGTATGATGTCTTGAGATTCTTGCTTGTCTTCTGGGGTCTTTCATGCTTCTCTTTGATATTTCTCTATTTGAAATGTTGATTGCTTGATCTTCACTTTAGCCTAACTCAAGTTCATATCTTGCATGGATGAAACCAAGTTTCTTGTATACTAGAAAACATTGTTTGTCCTAATACTTATGGCCATTCAGCCACCAAAATCACTAGACCCTTCCCAATGGAAATGTTTCTTCTAGGATGGATGAAATGAACCTATATCTAAGAGAATATTCTCTCCTGGGATCAAACCTACTTGTATATCAAATGAACACTACAAATTTTGGGTTCCACCCATCTCAACCTACTTTAACCATCGAATCAAACACATATACTTGTGTTTAAAGCTGGTTTAAGTGCATATTTGGTTTGTACCCCCATTGTACCAAGCCAAAATCTTGCAATAGCCAATGGAGGCCATGGCCAAAAATTGATCATACACAAGGTGTTTGGATTAGAACCACGCCAAAAATGCTAAAAATCCTATTTTGAATAGCGATATAAGTATGACATGTGGATCCCATGTGTCAAAAAAAATGTTTAATAACTAATGATAGGTAATATGGATCTTAATATGTTGATTTAAATGCAAGAAATACTTTATACATTGGAAGTGTTGTTTAACTGGTATAATCAAATGAAACCAAACAATAAATGCTACTATGCTAGTGACAACACCAATCTCCTGCTACGTTAGGTTGGCATGCATTTCGGAGGCCTAGACAGCTCGGTTGAAGCACCCAAAAATGACATAAGAGCATCTCCAACAAATTATTTATACTACATCTCCTAAAAATGACAATTAAGAGCTACTCCATCTATCCACAAAAAGATACAACTATGAGATTTGTACAACTCAAACTAGTTTAAGTTTGATCAAGTTTAGGGTCTATTTGGAACCAAGGAATGCAAAACGAAGGAACAGGGAAAAACATAGGAAAGACATAGGAATAAGATAGCAAAACAGAGGAATAGAAAAACAGGAAGATGTAGAAAGAGATGTTTGGAACACGGGGATTAAAAAGTATGGGAATTAAAAAGACCATTTTAACAAAACCATCAATGCAAAATACGTGTACTTCATTGTACTAATTAGCGGCCAAAATCCTGGGTAGTCAGTCTATCCTTTTCAACACCACCCGTGATGATTCACTGCTAGCTGCTGCTGTAAATCAAGCTGGAGACACGCCATTGGCCATCCAATGATGTCTGTGCTTCGGTCTTACGCGAAGGCGAGTGAAAACCAGAGATGAGAGTGGATTCTTTCGTTCCTGTGAAATCGCAGGGTGGCTACAGGGTTTCAGAGGAAAGGATCTGATGGTTCCTTTGTTCCAAAGGACCAAAATGTTACCATTCCGATGGATAGGAAGTTCCTCTACTTTTCCTCCACAATTCCCTTGATCCAAATGAGGCCTTCCAGTAAATATTATTAATAATTATGTCTCCAACTAGGTTTACTTTGAAAATAGTTTTAATAATTAATTTAATGATACTTACCACCTCCGGCAAAAAAAAAAAATTGTAATTCTAGCACAGTATCATGTTTTAGTACCTTAAGTTTGACCAATTATAGAAAAAATATAAATATTTATGGTACCAAATATATACCATTAGATTAATTACGAAATATATTTTCACATTAAATTAATTTAAAACCATAAATGTGAATACTATTCGCTAGAAACTTAGTCACCACTTTACGTGACACGCAACTCATAGTTGCATTCTTTTTGGAACGAAAGTAGTATGAGATTTATACAAGTCAAACTAGTTTAACTTTGATCAAGTTTACAATAAATATTATTAATAATTACGTCTCCAACTAGGTTTACTTTGAAAATATTTTTAATAACTAGTTTGCCTTCTTGTATGTAAATGTTATTAATTTTTATATAACTTTGATCAAACCTGAAATTGATAGACTCCTCGAAAAGTGACAATTGAATCCTTTTGTAGACATCCATGGTACCCTACCGGATTGTAACAGTGTCAGTTCTGTACATCTATATTCACAAAATCACAGTTCTCATAGTTCTTGCTTTGTTGACAATATTGACAAGCAACAGAAGATGTGCATGAAGGGTTTGTTTTCGGGCTATTGCTGCCCGTGCACGAATGCAGTAGTCGCAGTGGCGACTGTTGGTCTGTTGCCACTTGAAGAAGGCTGTGCGCTTTTGTACCGTCGTACTTGGAACCAAATCACAAACATTCAAAATAAAAGATACACTGCCATTTATGAAAGCGTTCTTCTGTACTTTGTTCGTCCTGCCAAAAGACAATGCTGTTTTTTTTTATCGATGAAAGCAATGAAAGCATGTTAGCCTGGGAGGTGTTAGACGTAAAAAATAAATTACAGAAGTTTTTAGTAATTCATGAGATGAATTTATTAAGCATAACTAATCTATCATTAGCACATGTTTGCTGTAGCACGACATTGTTAAATTATGGACTAATTAGGTTTAATAAATTCGTCTCGCAAATTAGTCTCAATCTATACATTTAGTTTTATAAATAATCTATATTTAATACTCTACGTATATGTTAAATATTTAATAGGATAATAATTAAAGTCCAGAGGTGGAACCAAACACAGCACGTTAGCACGTGGATAACGAGCTCCTCCTGCAGCCATTCTAATATACAGGCCTTTAGTTTAGATTTTATAAATACCATAGTTTAATATTCGTTTGTATTACGTAATATGTCAAATATTTAATAGGATAATAATTAAAGTCTAGAGGTGGAACCAAACACAGCACGTTAGCACGTGGATAACGAGCTCCTCCTGCAGCCATTCTAATGGTGTTATTTTTATCACATCATCAGATGGGTAAAAGCAGAGGCTGACAGAGCTACAGTCTCTGGGGAATGGGTCCTACATGACAGCGGGTAGGCTTTGACCGCACCAGAGCAGAGCAGTGCAGCTGACCGTTTCCCATCAGGAGCGAACTCAAATTCACAGTCCAAGCGGGGGCTGAGATGCAAATTCCTACAGGGGAAAAGGACCGAAGGAGGGGAGCCCCTGCGAAACGTTTCATCTACCCCCTCGACGTGATTCAAAATCCGCGCCCTGGTCCCCCATCCCGTCCCTCCCTCCAGCCTCTTCTAAAAATCCTGGTGGCTCTCGCTGTCCTCAAGCTCCGCTGCCCCCCCACACCCCGCCTCGCTCCCAGCCTCCCCAAAACCCTAACCCTAGCTAGCACCCGCGCTGGGAGATGGACGGCGGCGGCACGCACCGCACGCCGGAAGACGTGTTCCGGGACTTCCGCGCGCGGCGGGCTGGCATGATCAAAGCGCTCACCACCGGTACGTACGCGCCTGCTCCTCACCCATTTCTCCCTTTCCCTCGCGGAATTTGAGGTTTCACGAGGCCCGCGGAGGCTTCGATCGATTGGTTTCCTGGTGGCTAAATTGGTTTGATTTGCTTGGTTTTCTTGCAGACGTGGAGAAGTTCTATCAGCAGTGTGACCCAGGTGAGCTCGCTCACGCCGCTCCTCCGATTCGCACGATTCGGTGGCGTTCGCGCTGTTTCTCGCCGGACACTTGCGGTCTTCGAGGCGCTTGACTGGGAGGTTTTGTGTGATTTTTGTGTTCGTCGCTGAGAGGAGGAAGCTTTTTGTGGATTTGGCACTGGTTTTGGGTGGTTTGGCTTCTCGCTTCGATCCATCCCTGGATTTTTACGGGAATTTGTATTGTGCTGGTTTTTCGGAATTTTGGCCTTGAAGTTCAAGGCAAAGCTTCTCTGCTTTTCGCCCCAAGCAGAAAAGCTTGGTCGGAATTATTCTCTGCTGGTTTGGTGCTTCGATCCAGTTGCGGATTAGTTTTGTGCAAAAAAAGGATGTTGGACGAATGAGGTATAGGAGGGTGCTCTCTTTTTTCTCCCCTTGGATTGAGCTACTTTCTAATTGGATGACGTTTTACATGTACTATCTTGAGTTTGGGAGAGCAGGGGGGGGGAGTACTACGTATATATATAAAACTGGAAAAGTAGTGGCAGGTGACCACGTTGCCAGCCCACCTCACGCGGGGTATTTTTGGGCTTTCGTTTGGGCCAGCGAGAACTTTGGGTAGCTTTCAGCGACGTCGAAAGGAATACTTAATAGGAAAGTCACTGTTTTCTCAAAAAAAAAAAGTAAAGTCACTGGAGCATAGGTAGCACTGACAGTCTGGCACAATGTTTCATTGGCGTCCTAGTGGAACTGTCCTCTCTTTTATTTATTTTTCTATTTCTGTTACAACAAAATATTTTTACCATTTTAACTCGTAGGTTCCGTGTTGCTATGTAGTTCATGGCTGCTGTTCTACATTCACTAAATTAGGTTATAGTAATACCTTCCTGGACACTAGTAGGCAGTGGCATCTTATCCTTGACGGATATAGCTCTGTACAAAGTTGTGGATTAGTACCCTGATTTTCCTGTTTGTGTTGTAGCAATGTTAGGCAGGGTATGAATTCCAATTCACCCACTCTGTTTCCTTCTTTGGTCTCTAGGTTTCATTTTCTTGTGTAATTTGCAGTCCTTATCGAACTTTCTTGGTTATGGATTCTTTTAATTAGATAACATGGAAGAAAGAATCTTGACAAGGACCTGGAATCTTAAGGTTTTAACATTTTGTTTGCAGAGAAAGAGAATCTGTGTTTGTATGGTCTTCCCAATGAAACATGGGAAGTGAACTTGCCTGCAGAGGAGGTTCCTCCTGAACTTCCAGAGCCAGCTCTGGGAATTAATTTTGCTCGCGACGGGATGGATGAGAAAGATTGGCTGTCACTAGTTGCGGTGCACAGTGATGCTTGGTTGCTGGCTGTGGCCTTTTACTTCGGTGCAAGATTTGGGTTTGACAAAGATTCCAGGTATTGTATTTGCTGCTTGTCTATTTCTATGGCTTTCTTATGTTGTGGTAACCAATCTTGTTACCATATGATGCTTTGCTTGTATGCTATTGAATAGTGGGGTCTCTAGTCTTATTGGTGTTTTCTTGCAGTTAATCCTTATCATTGTTTGCATTGATTGTCTTGAAAACCATAAAGTTACTTCTGTCATCAAAGTCATTGTGGAGCATATACTGTTATTTTGTCAATTCCAATCTGCCTCCATTCTTTTGGTTGTTTTTATTTCAGTTGTTTCGTACCATTCTTTGTAACAAATTTGTCATCAAAATTTGAAGTTGAATTGGACATCAGTGTCCTACAAATTGACTTGCTAAGGATCACTTTTTGTTTATACCAATACTGAAACTTGTTGTTTACATTATGTGTGAACTTGCCTAGGTGAATTACAAGAATAATATATTCTTCACAATCTGCAATAACCTGTGGTCTTTGGACATTGACATGGTTTATATGTGCAACATTGGCTGCACCCTTTTTATATGAACATTATAATAAAACTTGTAAAATCATTGTATTTTGAAAGGATTTTGTCACAACAAATAGATCAAGTTTTCACTCAAATCAATGGTCATAATTAGAGAAGTTTGGTTCATACATTTACTAACACAGGTAGTATCTTCTATATGTTTTACCAAAATAATCTAAAATGCTCGTCATTTACCATTTTAATTAATGAACTTAGCAATCATAATGTATCTCTGGATGTGCATTCATCGGACATAATTTTTTTGAACTAGATGGAGTACTATTAATAGCCTTTACTATGCTCACGGGAATCAAATATGCGTTGTGACGAAGAGGAATGTGGTTGGGAAGTGCTTTTTTTTTGAAAAACAAGGTGGCAGGAGCTCTGCCTTGCATTGAAGTAGGATAAATAAAATAATGACTCAGTGGGCTGCATGATGTCCCCTAGAGAGAGGGGCAAACAGGATACAAAGCAAACAAATCTAGATCCTTCCTTTACGTGGTTTGAAAAGCCCGTTGCCGTTGTTCCATGTCTTCTTTTATGTGTAATGCTACCGTTAGAGGTGTTGATCTCTTATTTTGGAATATCCTCTGGTTTCATTCTTTCCACAAATTCCACGTGATGTAAATGCATAGGCCATTGAATTTTTGTTTTTTCCTCTTTTGGCACTGTCTTGACAGCAGCTTCCCACCAATCAGCAATGGAGGTGCAGTGTTCCAAAAGGCGGTATAGGTGCTCGCCTAGGTGCGCTTAAGCGCTGGGTAGAGGGCACCACCTGCTGGGTAGGCGGAGAGATAGGCGACGAGCCCACAGATCCAGGGTCACTCTGCTTGAGGGAGGGAGCGGCGCCGTCGCCTCTTGTCCTCCCTCCTACATCTTTGGTCCAGAAACGTTGATGCGCATTAGTTTGAAGGGGGGAGAAGGGAGCAGAACTGCAGAAGGGGAAGGCCTTAGGGCCGTTGCCAGTGTGGGGAACGTACGTGGTGGCGCCGCAGCTCATGGTGGTGGTGTGGGAGTGCACGGGGCCGCTCCACGGCTGGCCTGCAGCAGCCGCCCTCCACCGGAGAGATAGAGATCGAGGAGGGTGGTGGTGGTGGGGGGGGGGAGAGCCCACGAGAGAGATGCTGGGTACAGCGTACAAGATAAGGATAAGATGGAGCAATTTTGTGATTTGCCCCCTTTCTTTCTAAGAACTTCTGGAAACTTCCTTACTATGATTCTCTTTACTGGTTTCTTACATTCTGCTCCCTAGAAGTTATATTTTTCTCACAAAATACTATTAGATGTACTTTTATTTGTTATTTCTCCCCTCATAAACTCCTCTCTGGTACTGTAGCAACAAGAATTACACACACATGTTAGTGTTTAATTCACAATTGGTCAATTAAGTATACATAGTGCAGACTGATATAAACGCCTAGGAAAAGCCCAGGCACGCCTAAGCTCTATGCAATGGGTCACCGCCTAGAGAGCGACTAGCGCCTTTTGTAACCTTGTGGAGGTGTAACTAGCAACCTGGAAATGTGAAGGTAGAGAGAATTTTTCCCATGCTAGCAATTGCCTCCAAATGTCAGCCTCAAAAGGGCAAAGCAGACATAAATGAAGACCTGTGTCCCCTGTTGACCATGAGATAGTGTGCAAGATGTTTGATGTGGCCATCCTCTTTTTGCCAGATAATCAACCGTTAGAATTTTATCTTGGATTAAGGTCCAAGTGAAGAGCTTGCTTATTTTCTGCCTCTGCTTTCCAAATCAAGTTGTTGCAGAAGGTCTTGAAGGACCCAGCGAATTGAATCTGATACGCCGACTTATGGTGTATTCTACATTCGAAGCCCATCTCTAGGTGATAAGTCCTCCACATCCAGCTGCAGGTGTATATCTTGGGGTTGAATCCACAGGGTGATTAATTGCTCAAGCCTAGTAGCGTCATTTATTCTACCCTGCAGCATACATTGTTATGTAGCTCTTGGCTGACAGATTTGTTCTTACGCTTAACTAAGTTATAGAGATTTGGAGCCAAGGTTCCGGAGCGACTTCATGCAGCCAACTGCTTTTCTAGAATTTGGCTTTTTTTTTTTCCATTCACTATGGTGGATGAGTTGAAAAATAAGCGGGCTGTGGTGTCGCAAGGGGTGTCCATGCCGACCCATGGTTTACAGTCACTGACCCATTCTAGCCAGAGCCATCACAGCCTCAATGCTCATCCAAATTTTTGCAAGTCTGGGACGCCTAATCCGCCAAGCTTCTTTGGCCGTTTTACTCTTCCCCAGTTGACAAGCAGTGGCCTTCATTGGCCTTTTCTTTTTCCTTTCCAAAGTAAGGACCTATGGATCTAGTCTATTTCTTTCTGTGCCCATGCCAGTACAGGGAAGGTAGTGAGGAAGTAAGTGGGTGTGGAGGACAAAACGAAACTAGTGTAAGCCTTCCAGCCTTGTTGAGTAGGCGACCTTGCTATCCTGGCAATCTTTTATTGATCTTTTTTATTAGTGGCTGCACATGCATTCTTTGAAGTTCAGGAGTGTGTAGTTCAAGTCCTAGATATTTGCATGGAAAAGCTTTCCTCTCGCCTTAAATTTTGGCTTCGTTGCGCACGGTAACTGTCGTTACAATTATGTGGATATGTAATAGGATAAAGTTAACTTTGGCCTGTCGGGCCATTCGTTGTATGCATATATCCCCTCAGATTTCTAGGTTTGCGTAACATGGTATTGGAGCATCCTTAGCGAAGGATGGGATCCTCACATGCTGTCATTGGCATTCGAGCTGTGCTATGTGTTGTGTCCATTCTTGGCTCTCATTTGGTCAGATTTGACTTTGTTGTTACCTACCCACGATGCTTGTTGTGCTTCCTTTTTCTCTACTTCTCTTTGGGATGTTTGGGCCCAGATCATCAGAATCTTAATTGGTGCCAACTTCTTTAGAGATAATGTTTGCAGCACTGTTTGCTAAGATTTGTGATGTCTTTGGTCAGAGTTCAAAAAACCTCGTACATTAATACTCAATAGCTCAGTCATAGCATTTGAAACACCTTTCACTAAAACATCCTTGCTCCTTTTGTTAGTTTTCATTGGTGACTCCATCTTATCAGTTCTGGCTGCTCAGTGTCCTCCTGGCTGATGTTTGACTGCACCTGTCCAATGTTTTCACTCAGAACTTAAACGTCAAAAGATCCTGCATGGCTATGTTGTAGGCTTGAATGGTTAGAAAGGTCATGCATTTTCCCTCTCAAAAAAGATTGAAAGGATTTATTCCTGTGCTACTTGCTGGTGGAGGTTGATATGAAAAAAAATCTTATTATCTTCTGCTACTATCTCCTTCATCACTAATTCTTTAGCTCCAGGAGAACAATAACTCAAACTTTCGTCACATTATTTGTTAAATATCTGTATCTTAGATGAATCTTTCTTCTGTGTCAAGACCATGGGCATATTCAGAATTTCAGACCATCTCAAACTTCCTACCACGCGTTGCTAATCTATTGGACATTCGATGCTTCTGCTCGTTACACTTGACACAAGATGCCAATTTGCTTTGGTTATGCTTTATACTACACTAAAGCATCTTGTATTCAGACAGCTGAATAGTTGATAATACATCATTACCTGTTTCTTCTCATTTGGCTCCCTCCATACTTCCTGGTTTATTACATTGGAGTTGCTTTACATGCCTAGTGGAATCAATCCTATGCCTATATATGATTCTGCTTAGCCCTTATGTTCCCCACATTTTGGAGATGAAGTTGGGTCCACTATTGTTTACCGTACAATCTTCAGGTATTATCTGTCCGCAAGGTTGATGTGCAGGTGAATATCCGTTCTTCCCCTCCCACAGTATGATCATCTTTGATTTCTTTGCTACACCTGTTATTTTCTTTTTCTTCATGAGCATATCAAAATTGTATTATCACACGAAGTGTTTTGTTTTCCTGGTTACAAGCACTAGGGCTATGATGCTATGATCTTTCTAATCATTATCTTTGTTCTATCATATCTACGATTTCTTTCTTTCTCATGAGCAAAACCAAGTTCTCTTCTAAGTCTATGGAAGTTTTTTTTTACCCTTTGGTCATGACTTCGCACAAGGGATACAATGTTATGATATTTTCTTACCAGTGTTATGAAGTCATCCGGTTAATCGTCCTAGTCGGTGTCCTAGTCAGTATCCTGGACTTGACTAGGGGCCACGACTCTATTAGTCCGATTAGTTTTCTGGTCGTCCGATTAGTTGATGGCTAATTGTGATTACTGAGCCGACTTGGGGGTGGGGGGATGACCACAAACAGAATGGAATAATTGCTTGGCTGCATCTGGGGTGGCTTAGGCCACTTGGGCTCATGTTTTTCAGCCCAATTTGTATCCTGACATGCAGCCACCATCAGAGATCAGCAATGCTTTCCAACACGGGAGCTGATCAGCAATGTGGTCAATAATGGGCTGGACATGTTCCTTGGTGAGTTTCTTTAAAGAGAGGGGCAAAATCGTAAACATTTGCATGGGAAGTCTGTAAGTGCACAAGGCAGCAGGTTTTGTACAGCTGCTGTTGGGGTAATTGTTGAATACCTAAACCTATGGGACTTCTTATCAGATTTTTATTTGCAACCAGATGTTGAGGACAGACATATAAGGTGGCTTTCTCCAAATGGACAGTATTCGGCCAAGACAGCATATGATGGCTTATTTCGGGGGTCTACACTTTTTGGGTTGTGGGAAAGAGTTTGGAAGACATGGGCATGGCCCAAATGCCGCTTCTTTGTATGGTTGTGGTTGCTCACAACCGATGTTGGACAACGGATCGACTTGCGCGCCGTGGGCTCCCTCATCCTGAGTGTTGCCCTCTGTGCGACCAGGCTGCGGAGACCATTGATCACCAATTAGTCCTTTGTGTTTCCGCAAGAGAATTCTGGTTCCGTTTCTTTTCACAAAGGACTCAAGCCTTCTCCCCGCAGCCCACAGAAACCTCTTTCCATAATTGGTGGGAAAGAGTGAGCAATGCTGCTAGCGGCATGATAAGGCAAGGAATGAACTCTCTCATAATCCTTGGAGCATGGACTTTATGGACACAACGCAACAGGTGCATTTTTTATGGCGCAGCTCCAAGTATTGCAGGCGCACTTGTTGTAGCTGAAGATGAACGAAAGTTGTGTTTGGCGGGTGGCTCGAGGTATATTCCTCTTGACTGCCCCCACTCCAGGAGGTTAGAGTCCTGTTTTTGATCAAATTTAGTACCATTCACGGGCACGAATGTAATCAAAGAACAGTGGAATTGCTGAGTGGGTGTGAGTTTAGGGGTGTGTGACTTGTGTTGTGTTGTATAGGTTCTTGTCCCATTTTATGTTCTTAATATAATGATGTGCAGCTCTCCTACGTTTTCGAGAAAAAAAAGAGTTATCTTATGCTTGATTTGTACTCTAGAACATACAGGATATAAGTATATCTTTGGTATATTAGTCTTGATATATAGGACGGTTAGGACCGACCATGGTGATCAACGACTAATCACGACTCTTCACCTGGTCAGTCCCATGGCGACTAGGATGGACTAGACGACTTGATAACATTGTTTCTTATTGTGATCGTTCTACTCAATGTATTGGCGTCTTGTGTTGTTTCATTTGTTTTAAAGTATCATTTGATACATCTAATCACTCATTAACCATTGTCTTCACCATCTTCTGTTGGTTTGCCTTAGATATGAATCCACATGGTTACGGTGTATGGTTGTTTCTCTTTACTTTTCCAATTGTTTCCGTTTAAGAGCTTAATCTATCATGATACGTTAGGATCAAGCGTACTGTCACGAATTCATGATAGATTTGGGAGCTCTGTCCTGCTGACTGCATGCAAACATTGTCTTTATTATGGGCTTGAGCTTCTATTGTATGAATTTAGCCTTGTTGCAAAACTACATTACCTTCGAAATCACTAGGCACTGGGAATCAGTTAATGACAATGTGCCATGTGCTTTTCTCACAGTTTGTTAGGATAACTCTTTAAGATGTGGCTATAGTTTTCTTCTTTATACAAAAATGAAAAAGATAACACCTTTTCTTCTTTTGCTTGAGCTACTGGGGTGTAATTCTAGTTTGTACTGCGTTGCGGAAGTTAACTGAGAAGTGGTCAAAGTAACTTTAGTAGCATTGTTAATTTGGTAATCCTGTGCAGTCCTATATTCCTCTGCTTCAGCATTAGTTTGTTTTAGCGTCGATTAGTTATAGTATTCTGTGAAAGCTACAGAAATCAATGGTAGATATCATGGAAAGGCTGTCGTCCATTGCTATCTTGACTGAAAAGTGTTGGGTATATTGAATTTGAGTCTACATTTGAACAACAAAATTCCAAATTTGGAATTTTAGAAGTCAAACTCAAAGATGAAAGTTTACTACTATATGAATGTCAAATCTTTAAATAATTAAATTTATTTATCCTGGGAGAAATGAATTTGAGTTTTGCAATTACAAGTTTAGATGCATCATTGAACATTTAATTTGAATATCTACATCTAGTCTATAAATATTCAATTTTTATATGCGCTTTTGTGAGTGGCCTAGATATTTTCATATTCATGTTAAGGATACTGGCCTTTTAATAATACTAGTTTGTTAAAGAATTGCCTTGAGGTCTGCGAATGTCTTTTTTAAACATTGCCCCAATTCTCGTGTTCATCTGTCTGACACTCTTTCCCTCTCAAGCAGTCATGCAGAAAGGAAGTGTTCTATTTCCATCCAGTGGGAATCTCTCTTACCACTGAAATAGAGAATTCTCTTCCCAGATTAGAAAATCCTAGCAATAGATAATCTAATCCTGGTTGTTTTGAAATAACAAGCTCTCCTGCACTTAAATTATCACTGGTAACAGGGTGGAGAAACTCATTAAGGAATTCAATTATATGTCCCTGAGCTTTGAAACTAATGCTTTCATACATGTGTTGATCTTTTCTGTTAAATTTTGGTTATACGTGATGCTTCGTGTGTGCATCAGATGCTGATGCAAATCATAATGTAAAATCCATCTGGTGTACCTTAGATTTCAACATGTGAATGATAAGATAGAAAATGTTTGTTGTTTTATTCAGCTAGCATATTTTCCTTACAGTTAAAGCATTCTAGGTGTTCTACTATTCTATGGTCTAAAGCAATTTGATGGATTCTTTAACATTCGCAGTCAGCTAGAATGTAATCGCTTTTTGTGATTGTTGCAGGAAGCGGCTTTTTGTCATGATTAATAACCTCCCTACCATATATGAAGTTGTCACGGGAACTGCCAAGAAGCAAACCAAGGAGAAAACTCCCAAAAGCAGCAGCAAGAGCAATAAATCTGGCTCAAAAGTATGATTGAGATTGACTGCTTTCTTCTTTTAACTTTTTTTTGCCATAAATAACCTTCTAAATTCATTCCATTATTCTTGTCACTAAACACATATACAGCCATCACGCCAGCCAGAACCCAACTCAAGGGGTTCCAAGATGCCACCTCCAAAGGATGAGGATGACAGTGGCGGCGAGGAAGAGGAGGAAGAGGAAGATCATGAGAACACATTGTGTGGTTCTTGTGGTGACAACTACGGACAGGATGAGTTCTGGATATGCTGTGATGCCTGCGAGACTTGGTTCCATGGCAAGTGTGTCAAGATCACTCCTGCCAAGGCCGAGCACATCAAGCACTACAAGTGTCCGAACTGCAGCGGTAGTAGCAAGAGAGCGCGGGCATGATCCTGCTGGATATATCCATCTCTCATGCCTGAATGAAGAACCCAGAATTTGACTTGCTGTAAAACACCCACATGGGATCGAATGCCCGATGGTAATGCATTCAGTTGTTGCTTTCAGTGTAGGACCAGCTGTAGTCTTGATGTGCTGTTTGTTGTATGTCAAAGACGACGTAGATCTATTGTTAGTGACTAGCAACTAACTGTAGTAGCCTGTATTTCTTCAAGCTTCTCCCAGTGCGCCTGTACTGGACTCAGAAACTGTTTTAGATCTAAGTTGTGCATTATGTATCACCGTGTACTCATGTTAGTTTGTTAAAAAGTTGTGTGTTGGCATTCTCTGCGTGCATACTCGTATGAAACTCTACATCCCGATTAACCATGTTTACAAGTTAGTTGACTTCAAGTCTATTTTGCTCTCCCCTGCCGCCTGATGGTTTTTGTCTTCCCAGTTACAGTTTTCCTAGTGTATGCCATATTCTGTGTAGATTTTGAGATGTGTTGCTGCGTCAGCTTTCCATCCAGCAGCATATCTTTGCATACTTTCTGAGGCAGCTTATGGATGGTGTATGTAAACCACAATCTAGTGGGGTTTGACCTTGGCAGTGCTGCAGCTTGTCAATGGAACATAGCATACAGATTGGCAGGAGAGAGGACTGCATCGGATCCGATGCCCTGTGTAGTTTACTAGCATATCTGCATCGATCACGGTCTGCTTTCCCCTGCTCTGCTCTTTGGTTTTCTGCTGTGTTCATGTCCCTGTCCAGTTTGCAGCCTATCAAGCTTTATCTTCCACTCTGCAACCTTGCCTTTTTGACTTGTCCATGTTTATCCCGATTCTTTTTCGTGGTCTGTTTCGGCGCCTTTATTTCATTTTCCACCCTCCCCCAGGCGTTCCAAAATCCAAATGACCAAATCCCATCGACAACAATGGGTTTAGGGTTCTTGGCAGTAGATATTATGATCCGTGTGGTATAGCAGCTCGCATGCCACCTCAGCTTCTTGTGGCTTGCACCGGATCGCGTGCCCGGCAGCTTCACTTCTTTGCAGCTCTATGATAATGAAACAACTGCACCTTTTTAGCACTTAAAATAGAAGTTGAAGTTCATTTTTTGGTTTTATCTCTCCAATGTCCATTAATCGTCTTTTGGATAAAATAAATACTATTAAGGACCGCAGTTGAAATATCTCCTTTTAACTCTGCACTTTCAATGATTTTTTCACTTGATGTCACATCGCCATGCATATCCAATGTTAGATTTCACAAGTGGTACTAGACAACTGTATTTGGAGCCCTCTTTATAGTATGGTTATCTATCCTATCAATCCGTCCATTTTAACTCTTCTAATCAACACATGGCCAGTGCAAGACAAAATTATAACACTGTCTTGTACTTGTCTTTCATCTTCTCCAGTTTAGCATCCATCAGTTCCCATCTCACCACCTTGTTGGGCTTTTTTTTTTGAAAGCCTCCACACACCACGCGTGCATAACAAGATCTACAACTACACGCATACTAGAAGACCGCGTCCTTCTAAAGATCATCGGGACCATCTCCACCATGGCTTTCATATAGCCGAACTTTGCTTGTGGACACTCGCTTAACCTTTCATGTCTCATATGAAACTATTAGTCTAGAAACATTGTCATTAATTACAAAAACGCAAAGGTGACTTTCAACCTACAAGGCCTCTACACTAGGTGGTGAGGTACTAAAAACTTCAGATAGTGATTTGTTTGTGTCTAGCTATGTTTTTATAAAGACAAGGTCGTTCTCACAGGTTGCATTTCCCAACTGCTTGTCTTATGAAAACATAGTTTGTGACCCATATTTTAAATGTAAAGGATCTAAAACAAAGAGAATCTTGTTTTACATTTATAAGACTAGCCCAAAAGTGTGAGTCCCTAGTTTTCCATTAAGCCTATGATAGGGGCTTATAACCAAGATATTTGTTGGGTAGTATTTTCTACCATGGTTCATCTATGACCAACAACTTGAAAAGACATTTACTAAGCAGGTCAATGTTCTCAATACTAAAATCATGAATTATGAAAACATAGTATTTGTTGGCTGATACACTATACTTTATTTACAAAGGCGGTACTTTCTCTTCTCGTCATCACTTTGCCAATAAAACCTAGAGTGAAACTAATTCAGTTTCTTGTGTACACCCCTTGGGATCGTGAAGAAAGACATCACATACATTAGCAAGTATTGAGCACTGAATCAATCAATGTTAGGTTCCTTCCCGTTGATTTTTTTTGTCTTTCAAACTACCTAGTCTCTTCTTAAAACACTACTCTCTACTCCTTTCCAATCAACCTAAATACTTGAATGGAAACCACTAGTTTTACAACCATAACAGTTCATATATTGATCCGTCCATTACATCTTAATTAGGTTTTCCAAAGCAGAACACCTTGCTCTCATGGGAATTGATTTTCAGTCCTGATAATTGCACAAACATACAAAGCAATAGCAATGTCAAAAGCTTTTTCCTAGTCATGACCCAGAAAGAAAATTTTGTCATCTACATATTGTAAAATGATTAATTTGCCATCCACAAGGTATGGCACACGCTCCACTAACCCGTCCACCTTTTTTTGGCTCTATTGTGTTAGCACTACTAACATGTTAACTACAAACTTAAAGAGTATGGGAGATAGGGGGTATTCCTATTGAAGGTCTTTTTGCTATTTAGAATGGTGCCCAATGTCATTATTAATTAACATTAATTGCTATTCTTCCACCCGAAAAGAAAGACCCAAAGATATCCATATAGGTGAGAAACCTTTCATTAGTAGTGCTTGCACTAAGAAGGGCCACCTTACTTTATCATATGCTTTCTCAAAATTGATCTTAAAAATAAACCTACTCCATTTCTTTCAGGCAACTCGTGTACAGTCTCATATAAGATGACGACACCCTCTCGATGTTGCATCCACGCAAGAAAGCTATTTGAGTTATTAATGTTATCAACTGCCGAATTGATTCTAGTAGTAGCTACTTTAGTGAAGATTTTGTTGATCGCATTTAGTAAACAAATTAGGCTACATTTCTAAATCAAATTTGCTTCTTGAACTTTTGGGATCAAAGTTATAATACTAAAATTTAGGCAAAAAAGTGGTAGTTCTTGAGCATGGAGTTCTGGAACATTGGCATCAAGTCCCCTTTGTTGACATCCCAGAAACTTTGATAAAACTCGGCTGGGAACCCATTTGGATTAGGTGTCTTGTTATGTTGCATCTCAAAAAAAATTTCTGTGAAGGGCGCCATCAGGGCATCATTTTCAGTCTACGTAACATGAGAGATATCCTCTTTCCTTGTCTGGTCAGTGAGAATGTGCAATGGGAAGAAAATAAATTATGGTGGTGACCCATTGGGTACATACATTGTACATGCATCCCTAGAGTGTACTTTCATCAGAACAATTTTTAGTCACCATTGCTTGGAATTCACAATCATTTTATATATGCTACCTTGTTAGGTGTAATAACTAATAACTTTTGTGTGTTGTTTCAAGTTATGATCAAATGTAATGTAAAATATATTTTGTTGATGTATTACATGTGCCACAAATACGTGGAAGCTTCAACACTAACATGGTCCCTACAAATGGGAACTTGTGGGCATCTATTTCTATCACATTGAATTATCAAATTTTCATATTTATATCTTTATGAAAGTCTATTCCACGACTGACCTTCATATTTCAGTCTTCTATATCCATAGCAAAGGCATTGCAGGAGAAAATTCAGAATTTTGGCTTAAATAAATTCAAAATGGTACTTTTGTTTTTACCATAGGGAGTACCAATTTACTTTATTCAAACATCTGGATTTTAAAAAATGCAGTTCAATAAATTTCAGCAGAAAATACAGAAAAAAGGTTTCTGGCAAAATAGAATCCATAATGTAACACCCTAAAATTTGCAATCTTTTAAAATAGTAAATTTGATTTATTTATGTTATATTGTGTGCATTCAAATATAGGAAATTAATAATTTTTGTGAAATTAAAATCAATCATAAGTATAGATACATGTTGATGCACTCATGCTGGAGCATTGTATTTAATATGTTGAGTGGTTTTGATTTAAATTCAAAAGGATCCAAAAATCATTTGGAAATGGAATTGGAAAATTTAATTGGATTTTTTTTCTTTTCTCCCCCTCCCTTCTTCTTTCTGCCTGCTGGCCCAACCCCTCCCGCTGGCTCAGTTGGCCGCTGGCCTTTTCTTTCCTCCGTGCCAGCCCAGCCCCGCCGGCCTAGCACCGCACGCCAGCAAGGCGCCAGCCCAGCTCGGCTTCCTCCCTTGCCCACCGCAACCGCCAGCTTCGCGCGGCCCAGCAAGGCGCCGGCCCAGCCAAGCCGCGCTGCCTTCCTCAACCGCCGCCTGCGCCTCAGCCGCTGACAGCCCGGCCCCGCACGTCAGCGCCGTCCCTCACCTCCCGCAGCCGCAGCGCCGGCCAAGACCGCAACCGCCGCTCGACGCCCACTTTGGACGTGGGAGCGTCTCCCCCCCGCGCTCGGCCTCTACAAAAGGGAGCCGAGACCCTCCGCGCGCACCCCCTGCTGCCTCCCCGCTCCATTTCGCGTTCGCCCATGCACGAGGAGGCCGCAACCGTCGCACGGAGAAGCGCCGAGGTCCGCCGTCCGCCCCTCCACGCGGACAGCTGTCCCCGAGCCGCCTCCGCCTCCGTTTTTCCCCGAGGTGAGACCCCCTTGCTCCCCTCTTTCTCCCCATGTCTTCAATTCGGTGTTTCATGGCTTCTAGGGCTCGTTTCGTGTGCGCCCGAGAGCTCCACGTCGCCGGCCATGGCGACCTCCGCCTCAGCCACGTCCTCCGGCCCTGTTCTTGGCCTAGGCGGGTTCCCCTCCACCCCCTCTCTTCCCCAGTGCTCTCGGTTCTTCGAACCGTGGCCCGTAGACCCCAACCCACGCGCGCCGGTGACCTCCTTGCCGCCGGCCATCGCTGTGCCGCCGCGGACGCCACTGTTCCGG